TGTGTCTCGGGGCCCAGGGCTGCACACAGCAGTGGCGTCTGGCCACGGCCTCATAGTTAACTTCAGAATGCAGCTCAGTGCTGGGGTCCTGTGTCGCGGGGCCCAGGGCTGCACACAGCAGTGGCGTCTGCTGTGGTGGTTGTGCCTCAGGCCATCCTCCCCTTGGCCTGGTGTCCCAGCTGTAGGGATGTCATGTCTCCCGGCTCATGCTTGGACAAGCATGTGGATCTGTCCTTGGGGACCATGGATGCTCAGTCAGTAGAAACCCATCAGCTGCTCCGTTCTCTGCTCCACAACTTTGCATCTTGATCATGAGGCCATTTCATAAAAGCGTAGCAGGTGCTGTGCTGACATCCATGCACTCACATGCCGCCACGACATTTCCCTGAACGCTCCATTTTAAACCAAGAGTCAAAAGAGGAATTACAGATTCCTTCTTGTGATGTTTTCTAGTTATTCCAGTTTTGTTATTTAATCAATATTCTGGTCCTTTGTAAGGCAAAGTCCCTTGTGCTCACCCCCTAGGCTAACTTCAGGGCTGCCCCAGGGCCCTTGACTCACCCAGGCCAGCGTCCAGGTGCAAATGGACTCCTTCCTGGCTCTGGCTGGGCAGGCCGGTGGGGCTGCAGGGATGTGCACATCCCCCATGAGAATGGCTGGTTGGAGACGAGGCTGGGAGTGGGTGCAGCAGACCACTCAGAGGTGGGCAAGGTTGCTCAGCTTCCAGCTCCTAGTGGGCTTTTCCAGGGCACCATGTGGGCACAACTCACCTGCCTGTGGGATTGGGTTCTTGTCTGTCTGCATTTCCAAGTGAGCAGCCAGCCCTTTCTGGAGGAGCTTGCATTGGGAGAACCTGTGCTGTGGTGGGACCTACCTGCCGTGACACAACTGTGTGGAGATGGGGCTGGTGGCCGCTAGGCCCTGGGCTCCTACCCTGAACTGACCCCTCCGCCCTCCACAGAGGCCTGTGGGAGCAAATCTGTGTACGACGGCCCGGAACAGGAGGAGTACTCAACGTTTGTCATTGACGACCCCCAGGAGACCTACAAGACGCTGAAGCAGGTCATCGCTGGGGTCGGGGCTTTGGAGCAGGAGCATGCCCAGTATAAGAGGGACAAGTTCAAGAAGACGAGATACGGAAGCCAGTGAGTGCAGCTCCTGTGCCCACCCTGGACAGCCAGTGTGGGGGGCAGGATGTTGCTGTGGGGGTGGGGCTGCCTGTACGCAGCTGTCTGCCTGGCAGGCACCTGGCAGCGGTCAGTGGACGTGACCAGCGGTGGTCAGTGGACTTATCCTGGCAGTGGTCAGTGTACGTGGCTGTCAGTGGGCGTGGCTGGCGGTGGTCAGTGGACTTACCCCAGCAGTGGTCAGTGGGTGTGGCCCAGCGCTGCCATTCCTTCCTTTGGAACAGGTGCTGCCTTTGACTTTCCAGGCCTCTGCCAGTGTCCGGGCCGCCTCCCAGCCTTTCTGCTGTGCTGGTCTCAGCATGCTCTGGCAGTCTCTCTAGGCTCAGGCTTTGGCCTGCCTTGAATTGCACACACCCTCTGCCATCTCCCCAGGCCACCCATGGTACCCAGGAGCAAGGCCAGCTCTGGATGAAACCCAGTCTTGTCTCATGAGGCAGGTGCAGGGTGCAGAGTCCGTTCAGCCCAGTCACCAGCTGCAGGCTGGGTGGCCACTTAGCTAAGCTCCACTCCCCCTCACTCCCTGGGACACAGGATTGTGAGACCCTCATGAGTTGTTGGAAGATTGACGTAAACTATGTAAAGTGCTAGACTAGCTCCCAGCCTGGAGTGAGCAGGTGTGTCTGTCACTCTTCTCCAGGCAGTGGGTACCCAGGGTCAGCCAGGCTTGTTGAGGGGTGGATGAGCTGGAGAGCCCTGTGTAGCTGTGCAACCTCCTCCTCGCCTCCATCTACCTCCTCTCTCCTTCTC